ATGAGTTGCTCTTTACATCCTCTGGAATACTTGGTACACCCTTTTTGTTCTTCGTATAAAATGTTGTTATTAGTACAGTGTTGGTATATTTTGTTTGTAATGCATGATGTAAGGATTATTATTATTATTATTATTATTATTATTAAATATTCTAGTTACTGAATAATTTGGAGATGAAATGTTATTTAAACACTACTCGTTTTAAACGTCCCCACAAATAAAAATCGGCAATAGTCAAAGCTCGACTCCTTGGGGGACGGTGACCAAATTTACGATTTAACCAATTCACAACAATTTGTGAATAATACGTCGGACAACCATTCTGTTGGACCACTGAACTATACTTATATTGGAACGCGCACTTGCGATCTCTGCCACTGCACTAATTGGGAAACTAATCATTAATGTTTTCAAAACATATCAAATAGGCTGCTCTATGCATGCGCTAGAGTAGGACAGAGATTCCCCTTGTGGCCCTCTCTATCGGAGCGCGCGTTCCAGTATAATTAAATTCAGTGTGTTGGACATACATTGGCCCTATTATTCCATAACGATACATTGACTCTAACAGATATTGCCGATAATTTGTAATTTGAAACAAAGGATTAGTGTTACTCCAATATCGGACATGTTGCGAGGAAACACTTTCATTGGTAGAAAATGTAGCGTCGTCTGAGAACATATTGGCCCATATGAATAAAAGGGAGCATATGCTTATACTTGAAAAATTCAAAGTAAATACTCGGAAGTGCTCCTTCACACTGGGCGACTGAACAGCGCTGCTGAGCAGGGGGACGGGACGCAGTGCAGCGCTGCTGAGCAACGAGTATTTACTTTCAATTTCGCAAGTATAAGCATATGCTCCCTTTTATTCATATGATAACCCTTTTATTCATTTGGGCCAATGTTTCGTTAAATAACGATACGTTGCTATTTTGCTTCCTATCCATACACCAAATTTTATCTTTATTTCGCAATGATATAATCAGTTTTGTGATATTACTGCAATGATATGAAAGATAACGAAACATGTCATATTTACAATAAACACACCAATAGAGAGAACACTTTCTTTTACTTTTCGTAGCTTTGGATTGATTTTGTTTGATAATAAATTACAAATTGAAGCTGCCACGTAACCATCGATAATGATTCTTATTGGTACGGCATAGTCAATTATTTAAAAATTGTAAGAGTAAGGAAGATTTTTAATAAAATTGGAAGGATGCCTATAAGTATTAACTATTAATTAGAATACACGACCACGTAAGTACATACATAAGAATTACAACATACCCATCATTTTTCGTAATTTTTTTTTGTTTTTTGTTTATATTACTCTCATGTAGTGAATGCTCATGTATAACATTATGTATGGGAATAAAGTCAATTATTATTATTATTATAGAAGTCGATCGAGGAAGCCGAGACTGAAAATATTGAACGAGCGTGTTGGACAATCGTCCATCATGATTCGGAAATGTGAAAGCTGTGCAAAGTGCGCGAGCTCACAATCGGTCGTTATTCAATGTGTTAAATCGGAGCAATGTTTAGCGATATTCAACCATAATACCCAATTGAAAAACATTCAAAAAAATATGCCTTTCCGGATATGATCTCTCGAGTATTGAGGGCTGAGAAATTTATATGATCGACAATTTCAAATTATAATCAAATTGAAGTCGTAAATTATTTGTCTCATTTTTTCAGAAAAAAAAGATATGGAAAAAAGAGTGTGGGGTGGTGATGAACATACATATCGACTTCACGTAATTGAAGTTTATTCTTTTCACTTCTACACCAGTTGCTGATATACCAAGCTATTCGTATGTGTACTTTGCGGGTTATAGTAGGAGTCAACAATTAAAAAGTACAGCTAACTATGTTGTGCCTGAGAGGGCTAAAGCAGTATTTTAAAGTTCGTGAGT